AAAAATAAGACCCAAAACTCGAGCGCTTTCGGATAGTTGACTATTCTTCTTCAGGAGTTCTTCTGAAGAAGAATAGTCAACTATCCGAAAGCGCTCGAGTTTTGGGTCTTATTTTTAGTCTATTACATAGAGTGACCAGATTTCCAAACCGAGACAGTCCAGTTCTTACTCGTAATTTCAAAATGGTTATTACAAATTTGAAATAATTTAACTTTTATTTAAATTTATTGAACAGTTCCATAATAATTCCAAATATATTAACATTAATATTGTTTTTGAAATAATTTCAACTAGTTTTTATGATAGACACAAAACAAATTAGCAAAAATATTCAAGTTATACACCCAAGAAATATTTAATTATCCACTTTATCTTAGAATAGGTTACTTTATACTTGAATTTATTTAAGAATCTATAACATTTTCAAACATATTCCTTTTAAGCTTTAACATTACTTCACTCTCTCCACATCCAGATCTGGATTTCTTACCACACACAGAAGGAACTTTCGAGAGAGTTTGTGTTCTCGGAACGCACAAAACGTCCCGGTTTTAAGATAAAGACACCAAATTGTCACTCACATTGAATCACGAATGGGACAAAATACCAAAAAAAAAAAACAAAACAAACAACAACAACAAGAAAAGAAAAACGGGACTGTCCTGGCATAACCGAGAGGTCTGGTCACCCTATAGTACTGCATTTACTGTCACTTTCTTTACACTAAACTTGAGTTTTTTTTTGTTCTGTGCGTGTTAAATTTCTTTGTTTGAATTCTTACAGTGATAATACAAACACGGAAGAGTATTTATTAACTGGGAAAAAGAACTTCAGTATGGACCCTAAAAAGGTAAAATTTAACATAGACCCTTAAAAGGAAAACTTTATTATGGACCCTTAAAAGGAAAACTTTATTATGGACCCTAAAAAGGTAAAATTTAACATAGACCCTAAAAAAGTAAACTTTATTATGGACCCTAAAAAGGTAAACTTTATTATGGACCCTAGAAAGGTAAACTTTATTATGGACTCTAGAAAAGTAAACGTTATTATGGACCCTAAAAAAGTAAACTTTATTATGGACCCTAAAA